ATATACATATATATATATATATATATATATATATATATATATATATACACATGTACATACACACATACATGCATACATACATACACACACACACAACTTAAAAATAACATAAATTCTCAACCTGTACTGAAAACAGTTTCTGCGTCTCAGCGCCACCAGCTGGTGAGAGGTGGTGACATCAATTTGAACCCCACCCACTGGAACCGGTACTGAAAGCATAATGGAAACACAACCTGTACCGTACCGAGTAGAGTAGAGCCGTGCTGTACCGGTACTACAGGTACTAATGGAAAAGGGGCATAAGATCAGTTCCTCCCACGTGGTGAGGAGAAATGCGCCTTCTTCAGGAACAATATTGCCCTGCCGTGTTGAATGTAATCTTTCCTGCTTCATGTGTGTGTGTGTGTGTGTGTTTGTGTCAGAGCGCTCTGATGCCGGCCAAGCTGATCTTCAGAACCGAGGACCAAGCGATGTACCCGGTCATCTTCAAACACGGAGATGATCTGAGGCAAGACCAGCTCATCCTGCAGATCATCTCGCTCATGGACAAAGTAAGACTGGTTCATGTTTGTTTACATCTGAGCAGGCTGCCACACATTTGGATTTATTTTTAGTTGTTGGTTCATCAGATGTGCTATGAGGCAACGCAACTCGGTAAATGGACTGCACTTATATAGCACCTTTCTATCTAATCAAGATACTCAAAGCACTTCACAACACAATCTGTGTCCTCATTTACCCATTCATACAGCACTCTACTAGATTTATACAAAGCTAATTGAACAAATCATTCTAAAGAGACTAATCAGAGCTTTATCACATTCTTACACTGATGGGACACACATCAGAGGCAATGAGGGGTTCAGTGTCTTGCCCAGGGACACTTCGGCATGTGACTGCTGGTGAATTCGAACCCCCAACTCTTGCATTGGAGGATGACTGCTCTAACCACTCAGCCACAGCCTCCCTCGATGATAATGCTGCTGTGATTTCCACTGAGATGCTTAGAGCTGAAACAAATACCACAAATATTATCGATAGACTGTACAGTTGATTCAAATCCTGTGAAACGATACGTCAATATAAAGATCACACAAAATACTGTTCAATTAGCTGCTATTTATTATTAATACCTGTGTGTTTGCTTATTATTTGAGTTTAACTACTTAAAATGACTTTCTTTAAGCCGCATATGACCATATTTCAGACCAGTTTTTTGTGTTTTTGTGTTTGTGTTGTAAAGCTGTTAAGGAAAGAGAACTTGGACTTGAAGTTGACTCCATATAAAGTTCTGGCCACGAGCACCAAACACGGTAAGCCTTTATCCCAGGGGTGTCCGAACCTGGTCCTCGAGGGCCACTATCCTGCATATTCTACTTGCTTCCCTCCTACAGCACACCTGATTCAATGGCTGAATTATCTGTTAATGCTCCACAGTAGTCTGATAATCACCCATTGATTCAGATCAGGTGTGTTGGAGCAGAGAAACATGTAAAATAAGCAGATGGTGTCCCTCAAGGACCAGGATTGGACACCACTAGTTTAGAAGAAAATACAGTAAGACTACAGGAATCCCTTTTTCTGCCAGACATTTACTTAGCGCTGAATGAATTGCTGAAATTTGTTTTGAAATGAACTGGTAGTTAAAACTAGCAGAATAGAAGCTAAAATCAGCAGACCCATAACTAAAAGGTAAAATTAGCAAAACAGTAGTTAAAAGCTAAATGTAGGAAAACCAGAACCAATTGGGAAAAACGTACGTAATGGTTAAAATAAGCAAAACCTTAGCTAAAAATAAGCTAATCGTTAAAGTTTACAATTAGCAAATTGCAAATAATAGCCAAAATGAGTTATTGTATTAAGCTACTATTAGCAAGTCAATAAGTAAAAGCTAAAAGCAAAAGAAGTATACTTCAGTAGAATCCAGAAAACTATGTTTTGTAAAGAATTAGAGATTTCTATGTTTTGTTGTTGGATTTTTTTTATTGTGTATTAAATTAAATTAAATTAAATTATGAAAATTCCAAATGAAAAGTCATAGCTCATTTCCTGATTTCTGATCGAGTCAAACATTTCAATGTGCAAATGTTTAAAATAGCACAAAGTATGCAGAAGTATTTTGATTGCAAAAAATATACCGGTATTTAGATGAAACTACCGTATTTTCCGCCGTACACATCACTCTGCCCTATAAGTCGCATCAGTCCAAATATGTTTAATGAAGTGGAAAAATCCATAAATATGTTGCTTCGCCATATAAGTCGCATCTATTATGCGTCACCGCTGACAGTCCGGAAATGTGGGCTGGTGTTGTGCCAAAAATCGATTGGCTGCCAAATAGCTTCCACGGGAGCATGCACAGGAGGACTTTAACAAGAATTTAACAAGATTAACACTTAAAAACAATTATGTGTTTGCTCGACATTAAAGTAAAAGTGTGTCTCAGTTGAACTTTTACTTAATAAATGCACTTCAATGGTCAAATTAGCTCCATTGCCGAGGCAGCGCAGCGAAATGAAGCTGATTTGACGGTTGCTCCAAGCGAGCTACACGAAGGTGGCAGGCTATGGCAAACTGATTGTGTCATTAATAGCCACTTTTACCTATTACATGACACAACAGCATGTCATACAACTCGAGTGCCATCTAGTGGCTGAAAATGGTAGTGTTGAATATTTTCAGTTCGAATGAATGAAAACGGTCATACTCAGCCAAAATTTGGTTTATAGATATGGGAAAAAAATCCTTAAGTAAATTGCTTCGGTTCATAAGTCCAGGCCATGTAAATTATGCAAAAAACTGTGACTTATAGGTCGAAAAATACGGTACATGTTCCCAGTGTTCTTCTTTCATTAAATAAATCTCTGTAAGATTCTTGTGCTAGCCTCACTAAAATAAAAGGTATTATATGAACTTTTTCTCCAGGTTTTATGCAGTTTGTCCAGTCGGTCCCTGTCGCTGAAGTTTTGGCTACTGAAGGCAACATTCAGGTGAGCAGATCGTGTACTTGTGAACTGTTGGCTTGAGTAAGAGCACTTCTTCTGACCTGTCCTTTAAATCATCACAGAGCTTCTTCAGGAAACACGCACCGAGTGAAAAGGGGCCTTACGGCATCAGCTCAGAGGTGATGGACACCTACGTTAAGAGCTGCGGTGAGACACTACGCTGATCTGATTACACAGGTCATCAACTAGCTGAGCTCTGATCAATGTCTCTGTCATTCCAGCTGGTTACTGTGTCATCACCTACATCCTGGGAGTTGGAGACAGACATCTGGACAACCTGCTGCTAACAAAGACTGGTGAGGAAACGCCAATAAAGTTCACCTCCTGCTTCAAGAGTCTTTCCTCAAAGTTTTCTCTCTCTGTCCGCATTCAGGGAAGCTCTTCCACATCGACTTCGGCTACATTCTCGGTCGAGATCCCAAACCGCTGCCTCCGCCCATGAAGCTGAGCAAAGAGATGGTGGAGGGGATGGGGGGCATGCAGAGCGAGCAGTACCAGGAGTTTAGGAAGCAGTGCTACACCGCCTTCCTCCACCTTAGAAGGTAAGTGCATACACTTTTTTTAAATTGATCTACGTTTTGCAAAATTGTTCGTAACAGCTCAAAAAGCAAATGACCGCGTCCTTAATTTGACCTGTCGTTTATTTACACAGCTTGTAAAACTCAGCCATGTTCATTAAGTTTTCTCTTTGCCCTCAGATACTCCAACCTGATCCTGAATCTGTTCTCTCTCATGGTGGACGCCAATATTCCTGACATCGCTCTGGAGCCGGACAAGACAGTTAAAAAGGTTCGTTTGTTGTTCTCTTATAATGAAAGAGAGAAGGCAAGCATGTACCCACTTTAATTAACTCTTTTTAATAGGAGTCAAAAAGCAAGTCATAAACCAGTTCAAGTTTATTTTTTGGGACATGTAATGTATTGCAGAAAATTACAAAAAAGACTGATTCATTATTGTTGACAGCATTAGATATTAGATTGTTTTTTTTTGTTTTTTTTACCTCACAGCATAAATTTAAAAATGTTCTTGTTTTCTAATCCTCGAGAAGCCTCTTTGTTTTCTTTATACAAAAAAGCAAATTAAAAAAAGTTTAGCTTTTGGTCAGAGACCTTCCCTTCCATTTGAACAGTCCACCTGCAGGATCTCACCATCAGTTCTGAACAAGTTGTATAATATTTTGAATAATGGCGGTCCCATATTGGGAACTGTTTTGTGAAAAAGATGATTTCGTGAGCATTTTATAGTGTTGAAACTGCTGTGATTTAAAATCCAGTGCTTAAGGTTTTTATTATATAAAGATGACTGGTTTTAAAGTTATTTGACTTGCTAGAGACAAACAGGACATAATCAGTACACCGTGTTTCCCCTACCATTATACAAGCAGGGTGCCCTGGGGTGCACTCTACAAAGTCTGACCTGCCGATTCCGATTTTGGCCTATACTGATTTTGTTTTATAAGCAACACTGTCAGGTGTTATAAAGTCACAATGTACCTTCAATTTTCAATCTTATTTTGTTGAAAAACATACCCTTGAACAATATCCTATAAACAATACAAACTTGTTTTAGCTGGCCATGAGGTAGTGCTCTGAAATGTAAATGAAGTTCAGACAATTGTTAAAACTAAAAAAATCGGTAAAATCAGTTTTTCATGCAAGTATCGTCCGATTTTCCAAAATTAAGGAAATCAGTGGTGCACCCCTAGTTTAAACTGAGAGTGGCCCCAACACAGTAATTTAAAATGGCTGCCATATTGCAGGCCCTTTCAAAGTTTCTTCAGGAACTTTTCTCGTTAGCCTTTATAAGCAGTGCTGGATGACTGAAAGTGTCAAAGGCCTTTCACCCTTTCTATAAAGACTCTACCTCTCAGGCTCATATCACAGAATGAACCGTGACGTTTGTGTGCCATCAGGTGCAGGATAAGTTCAGATTGGACCTATCAGATGAGGAGGCCGTTCACTACATGCAGAGTCTGATCGATGAGAGTGTGGGCGCTTTGTTTGCTGCAGTGGTCGAGCAGATACACAAATTTGCTCAGGTAAGAGTACTTAAACACACCACAGAGACGAACAGAGCTAGTGGACAGATGTCAAGAGAAATATTGCACCATGAAGGATGAACGATAGCCAGAAGTTCTTGTTAATTGTAGCCGTCCACTAAACTCATGGTTCATAGGAATTTATCTGCAGTGACATAAAACGTCAGCAGTTCTGATGAACCGGATGGAGATGCAGCATATTTATTTCTGTAGAGTTAAATCCCAGTTGCTCATATCACCTTTTTGTCTCTTCAGTATTGGCGCAGATGAACAAAGCAGACAAGTGGCACGAGGCTGAAGTGGATCCAGTTTTCTACGCGGCATGAACACGCAGTTGCACAGCTCTGGTCCAACTGAGATGTTTTTGCGTGTTTGTGTGAAGATGAAAGAAACCCAGTGACACTTAAAAAAAAAAAGGCCAAGAATGCACTGCCAACTTTTACAGCAAGATGGCACATCAAGGACATGTAAATCTTTGTTTGCTCATGTATATAACGTGTACATTAATTACTGAATGAATGATTGAGGCCAAATAAAATGCTGTTGTTATGACTAAGCATTCAAATTTCTGTTTTTTACTCCTGTTTTGTGTTTATTTTCTCATCCGTTCGGCTCAAGAAGAGCTGCTGCGAGTGTTTATGGTACGAAACGTGTTTCTGCTGACCGTCTTTGGACGCTCTTACTGTTGATGGAGGGGGTAGGAACGAATCAAACCTCCTGACGGTCTGTGAGTCACTGAATGACTAAGCATTTCCTGTCAGAGACAGAAACATGGAACAAAGGTCCATACTGACTCTTTGACCTGTTTGATGTTGGTTATTGAAGCTGTTCATGTGGCTAGAGTTAGAAATAGAGCATTATTAGGCATTAACCATAAGCAATACAGGTTATTAAAAGAAAATTGGTATGTTCTCAAGAAGCCAGACAAAAGTGTTTTTTTTTTTAATCTGTAACAATCCAGATGCTGATATTCTGGGACTTGGTTTCAGGCAATCTTAAATTGTCAGACAGATGTCCTTGCTTTTAGCTCTAGAAAACTATGGTCTACAGAGGAGCTTGTGGTTGACTTCAAGACAAGCCCAAACTATCACCACTCCCCTACCCTGCTTCACAGTGGTATGAGGCGTTTGTCTCAAAATGTGGTCTTGTCTATGCCAAACATCTTAAACCACACTGTTCTTTGTGGATCATTCATCTGTCCATTTGAGATGATGACTGGTCGATGACTCTTCCTCTGCACCTGCTTTACCAACCAGGTTAATCTATTGTAGCAACCGTGTACACCACACACCAGTACAGGACAGACTGCAACACCTGGAAGCTACCTTTGCCTTCACCTAGAACAGGGGTCTGCAACCTGCGCTCTGGAGCCACATGCGGCTCTTTGGTTCCTGCAGCGGTTCTTTCAAGCTTTGACCAAAACTGACATAAAACTGAATTTTATTGGTTATACAAACATCAAAAAAAGACTAGTTCAAAGAGTTTTCCTGTCATTTACTTTGCAAATACGTGAACACTGGAGCAAGTACAAGAAGAAACATACTTTAAAACTTGATGCTTTATTTCTTTTTATGAAGAACTGTCTTTATAGTTTATAGATTTTTTTTTTTATGGTAAAAACTTTTTTTTTCCATCCTTCTTTACAAGAATCTGGTCTTTTACTTTAATAAATGTTAAATATCATTAGATATATTTTGCTTTGTAATGTCGCCCCTATTGGCCACAAAAGCCCCCTCCAGCAAAGTGGCTCTCGGACCACCAGTTGATAACCACAGTTGTATCAGGTTGTTGTAGCTCCGGACACGTTTAATGTAGTGAAAAAAAGCATTAAAATGGCTCTTTTGATCATAAAGGTTGCAGACCCCTGGTCTATAGTACTGATCAGAAACCTAGGGTTATTTTTATGGTCATCTATTAAAGATGAATGATATAAAGTTCTAGCTTTACGGAGAGCTTTCTTATATGTTAGCAGACTATCTTTCCATACTAGATAAAATTATTCAATGTTAATGGAGCACCATTTTCTCTCCTGGTTTCTAGATGTCTGCTTTAAAGTATGTAACTCAGAATTGAACCAAAGAGCCAGTTTCCTCTGATTGATTACTTTCTTTTTCAAAAGATGGTAGAAACATCCGTTTTTACCATCTTTTTTTACGGATGTTTCCCCCATTCTTTACAAGAATCTGGTCTTTTACTTTAATAAATGTTAAAAATCATTAGATATTTCTTGCTTTATGTCACCCTACTGGCCACAAAAGCCCCCTCCAGCAAACCTAAAGTGGCTCACGGACCACCAGTTGATAATCACAGTTGTTGTAGCTCCAGGCATGTTTAATGTAGTGAACAAAGGCGTAAAAATGGCTCTTTTGATCGTAAAGGTTGCAGACCCTAGGCCTAGAAGAACTTAGAGCTGCTGAAGGAAGAAAATCTTAAAGCTTTGATCAGAAAGCCTCATGTGAGGTACTGGTACTCCAAGTAGGGAACAGAATCTGGTACTATATTAGTGGTTTAAAGACTGGACAGACGGCAACCAGAAAACTTTCTTGCAAACTCTTGCCACAGTGGATTGGACTTAGCACATCACTGATAAACTTTCTGCGGTCAGGAGTTTTTTAATTCATTCAACCTTTATTTAGACAGGTAAATCCCATTGAGCCTTGAGGACTCATTTATAAGCAGTGGTGGGATGTAACTAAGTACAAATACTTTGTTACTGTACTTAAGTACATTTTTCATGTATCTGTACTTTACTTAAGTAGAGTTAAATGTGGGTACTTTATACTTTTACTCCACTACATTTTACATCAAGTATCTGTACTTTCTACTACACTACAATTCTATAATGCGTTGCGTTACAAGTTACATTCATGTTGTGCCTTTTTGATTTTTTTTTTTTATTCATTTACCCTTTATTTATACAGGTAGTCTCATTGAGCCACGAGAACTCATTTTCAAGAGTTTCATTAGTTTGAATGCTCACAATGGTGAGAGGGGAGCTGGTCCAGTGAATCACTGCAAAGTGGGACGGTAACGTTAGGCCCACCTTCAAGAAGAGCTGGGCCAATGACATATTCTAGTATATATGTCACTGAGCTGGGTGCACCTGCAGCACCACTAACACACTCAAAATGTATTCCACCACAAGAGAGCCAGCCAGAAGATATGCTCCACCCAAGGCCTGAGTAATTATTTAGATTGTTCATTAATGTTTTTCAAACAAGTTATTCTCCAAATTATCCTTTATTATTTGTGTTGTTCAATTTGTTTATTATTTTTGATCATTCTTAGTTTGATTATTTTTGTAATAAAACTTAAAAGACAAATTTAGTCCCTTCATTTGCATGATTATTCAATAGTTATGGTATAAAACTTCCTGTAATTAACATATTCTACTTCAGTGACTGAGTTCTGATTATTAAAGGGTGAATACATTAAGTAAGTTGTTGCTGGTCAGTAAACGGACCTGCTGGTGCCCTGAGTGCAAAACAATTAATTAAAGTGGAGTAAAGTGAGGAGCAAGTGTCGCCCTTCTTCCTCCATTCATTCATATATGCTACACTAAGTTCTGTTTAGAGAGAAGCTTTCTCCTGGTAACCTTCCAAACAAGTCATGCTCGTTTAGATTTTTTTTAACCTGCCATCTGGGGCCTGGAGAGTCACAGTGTAGCTCTTTCTTGGTTAGTTTTCTACATTTCTCTGAGCTTTGCATAGACTGAGCTTTAGGGAAATTAGCTGGGAAAGTTGGCAGCCTGGGAATAATCTCTCATTGTAGAATGATGGACTCCAAATTGTTTGGAGGTCTCCTTTATAAACCCCAGACTGATGGGCAGCAACAGTTGATTCTCTAAAGTTATTTGTGATGTCTTTCCTTCTTGGCATTGTGTTAACTTCTGCCTGTGTCAAGTCAACGAACTGACAAAACTTTCGCTTTTACATATGCGGTCTGACTGATGATCAGTAAATAAAGGACATTTGATCAGCAGATGGCAATTTTTCTTCCCTATAGAGGCTGCAAGGATAGACTTTGTTCACACTCACTGCTTTTCAGTTTTGTCTTTCTTTTTTTTTATTTTGTGTTGTTGTTATTGTTGTTGTTGTTTTCTCTCTGTACTCCGGTGAAGTCAGACGTGTTTCCCGGCGCTCCGTACCCCCTGCTTGCACTCTTTTGTCCTGTGAACCCTTAAAAATACTTTTTTTTTCCTGCATACCTTCTTAATTCGAAGGATCAGCTGGTCTCTCAACAAATTGATCAGCTTCTCCCGACAGGAGTCAGGGTAAGGAGGACCCTCTTACCACGACAGAAACAAATTGGATTCATAATGACAGCTGTTTTTTTTTTGTTTGTTTGGTTTTTTGGCTGTTTGACTTGGTGGAATCTAGACTGTCTACAAATTTGTGTGGATGTGTCGAAGTTTGGCAGCACTCAGACTGAATTAAGTGGAGCTGCGTCAGAGAGCTGGAGCAGCTGTTATCAGGACTGTGGACTCTCTAGCAGCACACACGAAGGTGGGAAATAATCTTGGAGAAGCTGTGAGCTTGACTTTAAGGAATCAATTTGGCTGTTTTGGAGTTCCATCAGAGGAATATATACCAGCAAGACTTTAAAAGGCAGAAACAACAATTCATGAGTTCTGCCTGACCCTAAACTGTGGCCTTGACGCTGGACTTATCCAACTCCTCCTGGAATGTTTCTAAAACAACAAAGATGCTTTGTCTGTCTCCTCACCCCTCCCTTCCCCAAGCCCGTGGACATGTGACAGAGCCTCAACTGAGCTGAAGATGAATTATACCTCTTATCTGGACAATGGCTGAGGGGGGACTATGCTACGACTTTCCCTTAAAAATTCAATGTTTTCACCGGCCTATATGTACATGTATAACGTCTATTTATGTTGCTTTTCTGTGGTAGTTTTTTTTTTAATGCCTCAAATCGTGCCCTGTCTAGGACACGGCGTGAGAGATTTTTTTTTTTTATATACCGTCTCTCCTCATGTTTTCTTCCCTTTTCTCATCTAAGCAAAATATTATTCTGAAGAAGAATAAGAAGGCTGCGCTTTCATAGTAGCAGCTTCGTACACTCCGCCCATCTTTCGGCCAACTGTACGTACATGTTCTGGTTGTATCTCGGTGCAATGATAAAAAAGCTTGTTCTGATTCTGATAAATAATGACATGATAGAATCTGCTGCATGTTTTTGTACTTTTGAGGTTAGATTTCAAAATGTTTAAAACCTGGTAAAGACCAGATACGTTTTTACTTTAGTCCTGCGATGTAAAGCCCAGAACTGACAGGCAGTGCACGTTTTCCCAAAACCATAACGGTGGTCTGCGACCTGTGGCTCTGGGCCACACAGGACTCTTTAGTCCCTCTGCAGAGGCTCTTTGTAACTTTGACCAGTACTCAAACTGATTTGTTTTTCTGCTGAAAAGTTTTTTTTTTTTTTACTTCCTTAATTTTAAGTTACTTAGAAGAATAGCAAAAAGTTTTTGTTTTGAAAAAGTATCACAGATTACGAGTCATAGGGGT